TACAGACAGCTAGCGTACACACAGACAGCTAGCGTACATACAGACAGCTAGCGTACACACAGAAAGCTAGCATACACACAGACAGCTAGCGTACACACAGACAGCCTAAAAATGTATTTGATAGGATATGGGAAAAAACAGTGAAATGAATAAATGATTTAACCTGACATTACAGGTTTAGGATAAATTTTCCTCCTTAATCTGATAAAATCTTTTTTTTTCTTTCGTTTTTTCCCTCTTTTAGTCCAGAGCTGCATCAGTTGACCAGATGTAGGACTGACAGATTTAAAAACTCATTTATCCCAGCAGCAGGCAAAATTCTTTAGGAACATTTGTGATCGTCTTTATGTATGAGTGTTTTTGTTTTTATGTCTACTGACTGAAACAAATTTCCCCGTGGGGATAATAAAGATTCTTAACCTCCTGTCATCTTGTAGGTTTTTGGGTCTAGTTCTGTTCTAAGTGTGATGTAAATGGAAAATAAAAAACTAACAGTTTGGATGGTCCGGTGCCGTCTCACAGTAGAACACACTGATTATTTATTTATTCTTTTACAACATTTTGATTCAGAGTTTGTCTGTGTTTTGTTTTAGGATTCCACCAAAGTTCTTTATTATTATTTTTGGATGCTTCAACACCAGGAGGATGAGGGTGGTACCTGGTGGGCCCGGCAGATCAGGTCCAGATCGTGGCGGTTGAGGAACTTGCTGACCACGTCGGCTCCGAAGGTGAAGGAGACGCCGCGGTCGTTCTCTCCCCAGCCCTGCACGTCTTTGTCRGGGTCGGACCACAGCAGGTCYCACAGGAGACCTGAGGGGGGTCAAAAACCTCAGAGTCATCAAAGAGAGTTTTATTTTCTTGTGCTGACCTCAGATCACACACTGAAACCTCTCAGACAGACTCAGATCCACAGAGTCTCCATGAAAGACCATAAGAGGACCTGAGAGACGGCGGCTGCTGAGGTCTGAACACTGACGGCCTTATAAGGACAAGACCAGGAGGCTTCACTTCCTGTAGTTCAGCAGAACTGAAGCAAACTGAGCTGAGGGAGCTCTGACAGGAGCTTCAGTCAGAGGTTCGTGTTACCTGTGTCAGGTACGTCTGTGGGTCTCATGATCCGTCTGATCTGCTCCATGGACTGCAGGTCAGGAGAGAGACCTGCAGGAGACACCAGGATCAGATCTACTTTCATTGTCCTCTAACCAATCAGAGCGTGCCCGGCCCAAACCTGACGGAGACATGGTTACAAACAGAAGTACCTCCGTGGCAGCAGAAGATCTTCTCGTCGACGATGGCGGCGATGGGCAGGCAGTTGAAGCAGTCGGTGAAAGTCTTCCACAGTTTGATGTTGAATCTGCGTTTACCTGAGAGATCGAGTTCAGCTTAAATAAGTCCTTATAAAAACAAAGCTGCTACAGCTGACCGATGGGGAGAAGTGAGTCGTCATAGAAGCAGGTRTGTGGAAACTAAGTGGTTC